TCTCTCTCTCTCTCTCTCTTTCTTTCTCTCTCTTTCTCTCTCTCTCTCTCTCTCTCTCTCTCTCTCTCTCTCTCTTTTCCCTTTCTCTTTTTCATGCATCATCACTGAAACATCTTGTTAATCCGCGGCCAGGGATGTCACCGCCCTCCATAAACTCGTAAACTCGACGATGCTTGAGGTGCAGGTGTTCTCGCAAAGTATTCTTAAGAGCATTCAACTTTTCACAACGATATCGGCGACTCCAGGTGTAGGTTGCCACTCGACCTTTTCAACCGCTTTTCCTCTCTCTTTGTCTCTCTCTCTTTCTTTCTTTATCTGTTTTTCTTTTTTTCTCTTTGCTTTTCCCTCTCTCTTTTGCTGTGGATAATTCAACATGAAATGTAGTTGACCATCAAATATGAGTTGATTATCGAGCGCCATCCTGAGTGTGTGTGTGTGTGTGTGTGTGTGTGTGTGTGTTTGCTCTTTTTTTTATAATAACGTATAATACGATTGAAAGGTGGCGACAAAAATGGATTTTTATACTGATTTTGCAGTTCATGTGTCATTCAATAAGTTGAATCAACTCGTCAGGCTCTTCAAAAACATGTAACCGCGAAAACAAGCGTTGAAATTGTACGAAGATACACGGATGCGAATTATTACGATTTCGGATTGCTTTTGAACCGTTCAGAAATTGAAAAGCGGCATATCACAAATTAGATAACGCATCCAGAAGATATTGCGCAGATCGCGAGTAGTTATAGCACTGATCGCTCACCGCGCGGATGTCGAAAAGAAAGGGGAACATGAAACAATCGCCCGTGAACATCATATCGTGATGGATATGCGAGAAAAATTTATAGGTTCATAGTAGGTTTGAATAACTGGTATACATATATCTCTCCTTTATCCAATTTATTTATTACACCGCGGCGTGTCGAAATGCGATGAAGATTTATCGGCTTAGTGATCCGCTCAGATTACTGAACACTATCTCTTTTTTTTCCTATAATAATCCCTCGTCGATGATGATCTTTGTTGCGGAGAATAATAACCTTGCAAAAACTTTTTTAGCTTTTTCTGACTTGTATTCAAACGCATTATTTTTATCAACTTAATTAATCAGTTAGCGTGAAATATATCCGAGAAACGAATTATTTGGGGAAAAAAACGTATGTTATTAGAATGATTATTATTGAAATTCGTTATGGTGATATGAATATTTTATACGCAGAAATTAGAATAAGATATTGTTTTAATGATAATTTTTAAATGACATGGAATTATTGATGATGATTGATTTTTTATTGCGGCATATTGAATATATGAAAAACAATATCTATAATAATTTATAACAATATAATTTAGAACTTTCTGATTTGTTTTTTTTTTCTGAATTTATATCTGGACACTCGCGATGTCTTTAATTTCTTTAAGAAGAGGTCAAAGATGTCTGTAAATCGATATATTATTTTTTGCCTCTTTCGAGCACTTAATCCTTGGTTGTATCATGGGAAAAAGACTTAAGTTTTGAACAAACAATTGATCAAACAATCCTAAATGAAGGATACATCATTATGTCTGCTAGTCCTTTTCGATGCTTTCTATGTAACGAACGTATCTGTCATAATACATACTTGTGTCAGGCTTATCTGTCAAAGTATAGTCTTATCTGTCATAATTCAGAGTTGTGTTAGGTTTATCTGTCACTTGGTACACAATGGATTTATCAATTACGTCTAATTTTAATAGTGATATTTTTACCGATTATAATGATAATTACGACAGTAATTATAACGGTAGTTATAAATATTCGATGTTTTCTCTTTCTTTCCTAGTTTTATACGAATAATTGCAGAGATCTATATTCAATTTATTTCTCTCCAAGGTAGCGAATGCTTAGTTTATCTTCCCGGCAGACAAAGTGTATCAAAGAGTTGGATCTATCATCTTTTTTGTAATTCTTGAGATGTTCTGAAACAATGTACGATACCTGAAGAGGTGATATACACTGCGTGCACGATATCCAGTAATAATATTGCACGTAATAATGTTGCACAAAATCGCATTTGAAGTTACACGAATCGTACTAACACGAGTTAGTGGTAAATCTGATTAACTGAATTTTCCTCGTCACTCTCCGCAATAGATAGGTAGGTAGAATTAATCCTAGGCAGGGATATCGTGTCGCTAATCTAGAATTAGTTGTATAACCCCGATATCAACGTAACTTAGTTATAAAGGATCTCTCATGTTTGTCCACGGGTACGTGGGTCTGATAAAAATTGAATAATCTTCACTTACAAAGTTGCCAATTCACTGAATAAAAAATACTCTCGAAAGAAATAGCCTTAACTTTTGGGGAGAAAACTTAAATTCTATTGTGAGCCATGCATTATATATACATATAGTTCAATGGTATATTTATTTTCACTCGTAACTTGGGAAATAAAAGGGATTATTTTTTTATCAAAGTAAAATATTGAAGTGTTATAAAAATCTTACGTTCTATATATGAATCTTGTATCTATATTTTGGTAACATGACCTGCTTTCACGTTTTAATATTAGGATAGTAAATATTTCACGTCTTAAGTTGCGTGACTAAAAAAATATGTCTTAGATTGCGAAGAGATTAATTTTACATAGTTCGGATATTCGAGATGATATTCAATTTATGCTACTCACAAGCAATTTTTTAATAAAAATTTGAATATTTCCAGAGCTTTTAACAATAAGACAAGCGTGTAAACTGTAACATGATGTAACTATTTAACTATCTAACTATCTAACTATTTGAAACATATTTTTTTAAATTAACATAACTTACAATTCTTATTACTACAATCATCTGTTAAAAAAAAAAATTTTAAATTTAATAAAAAGGATATTCTTATACCTTTTTTGCCAGTAAAATGTAGAATCTTTTAAGTACGAAGTATGCGCGAAATAGTTTGCCACATGTTGTATACTTATAAGTGCTTGGAACTGCAAAATCGACAAATCGATAGCTTACCTACCTAATGCGCTAGATTACTTACCTTTAAATTATTTTCCACTAGGATTGCATCAAGGATTATATTATCGAGATATAGCAGCATGACAACAATACATATGTATAATGATTGATCTCTTAAAGACGATTTTATGTTATGAGTTTATATACACATATAGAGTGTCATATACAATTATCCCTAATTGTAGTTAAACTATACATTTTTTAATTAATTAAAAATGTATCGCTAGCAAAAATTATATGTCTCTCTTTGTCCAATATAACTTTTTACTGTTCTTTTCTCATATATCTCGAATTTAATATTTTTGGATTAAAGTTTTATTAAAACAAAGTTTACTTACAGAAGTAAACCTTTGAAGATTTTATTTTATGAGATAACTTTATGTAAATTTTGATACGTTGGATACAAATATGGAAGTCAATTTTTACCTAATCGCCTTATCCGGTATATTATCTGGTTCAGTGAAATTTAGGACACGGATGGATCTAGCTTATTTTCCTTTGTGTGCGGATAATCTGTTGGGAATATGCGGGAAACACAGAGCATACGTTCGTAACACGTTCTGTAGCACGCGGAGTTACATGAATAGAAAATATCGACGCTAGGGGCAAGTATAAGTCGACGATATATCGCAGTTTTCTCTGTATCTACCAAATCCTCGACGCGACTTTCCCGGTAGGAATATCGATAGACGCATTGACAAATTGCATCGATAAACTGTTGAAAGTCGATAAGATGTGTAAGAGGCATTTTATCACATTGCGTCTTTTCATCATATCGCGTGTTGCTCCATAATTTTGACTCATCTCTTTTAGAAATAAAAATTAATTAGTTTGGAACGAAAGCGTGTTCGCGTTTCTTCTTTCCTGTTTCTTGCTGTTTACCTCTATTTCTTTGCCGATGCACACAATAATGGCTTCTGCTTCTGTTTTTTTCGCCGCTATAAACGAGCGAGATGTGCCTGCATCTCTAATCTGATCGTGCACTTGGAAATTGATAAAAGCGGTCCATTCGACCGAAAGCAAGTTTGCGTTTACGCGCAAAATTCTCAGCTAGAACGGCAAACTATTAAGCGAGGTAGATAATGCAAATAAAAGATGGGTGAACTCAATTAAAATTTATACAGTCTCTTGAAGTTTGTGAGTGTTTACGAGGGATAAAAATGTAATAGTAGAAACAAATAATTGAAGATTGACGTTTATTAACAATCTCATATGGCATACAAGATTTATTTTTTACACCTTATCTTATATGTGTATATATATATATATATGTATATATATTTGTTTTGTGCGCCGCTTGCATGTTCACATGCATAAAAGAGGGATGATTTACAAAGAATGGATTCGGGTGTGGTCATTCGCCAACAAAACCACACCCTTATCTATGTTGTAGCAGGGTCGGATAAATAATTAAGCACGTGGTTAATATCGATCCGGAAAATTGAATTATTCGCATGGCCATGTAGTACGAACTTCCAAAACTTGTCTAATTTATTAAATTAAATGTTTATATTATTACACGGCACATGGTCCTATCTACCGGCGAGAGATTTGGAGATCGTCGTCAAAGACAATACACAGCTGCGCATTGATACTGGTCCCCTTCAAATCCGCCGTGAATTATAAATGAGAAGGGGGAATATGATATGAAGGGAAGAACGTTTTCTCTTCTTTCTTCTCTTCCGCAAGATGATACATATATCTAGATATTATTCTGCTTGTACCTGCACAATTGAAACAGCAGGTGCATGGATAATTATAATCTGTCTTGAAAATATCTATATGTTCTAAAAATCGAATAATGGAAACATTCCAATCATTTGTCAAGTATCCTAATTTTCTATGTTACATTAAATGATCTAAATAGGAGAAAGATAATAGATTATATGTGGTTGAGGTTAAAGAAATAAAATAATTAAACTAAATAAAATATTTCTTAGATCGTCAAATTATCTAGGCAATCTAAGATGATCTAATTTAAGATCGATTCCTTTATCTCCAATATTGATTTTACTATTTTTATATTTTTTAATCGTAATTTTTTCATTACTTAATCTAAATTATTCAAATCAAGTATAATGTTGCAAAATCGGTGCTTTGAGCGAAATTATTGACGTTCGAGTTATCAATTAAATCGAGTCAATTAATGTAGCATCTAAAATCTGAGATTGTAGAGCTTGCCTCGAGTCTTTATTACATATGACGATCATTTGGCTGAAATTTGTCTTGCCGTACGACAGATAGAATGACTATTCTTTCGTTGCTACCTTTGAGCTTGGTAGATTGGGGTACTGAAAGCGTGGTGAATGCGGAACGGCAAAGCAATGGAAGAGTACAGAGCAAAGTGTAAGAGACCGAACAGACCGCGTTCGAATGGATGCTGGCTCTTTCTCGTAGGCCGATATCGATCCGGTCTCGCGACCGACCGATGCTAAAGGGAAGCTAAGGTCGCGGTTACGACTGTCCGCAAACAAACGCAACCGCTCGTAAATCTCGTGTGGCTCGTAATTCTTACTCGTCCGGCAAAGATATTTCACGAGTGATTAGAAAATAAAGCGGAACTTCTTGCGGCGCTTCTGAGGACAGTTTGCTTGCTTTATTAGTGCCGAAGTGTTATTAAATCTTTATCGTAAAATTTAAAAAAGTATAATAGAATCGCTAGCTATATCTTTTCGAACAGATACTAAAGTTTAAATTAAGAAAAGCAATAGTTATTTCAACGTTGAGGCATTACTTAGTTACAGAGTTATTTATAACTTCGAAAATTACACGATTATGGCCAATTAAATTTCAAGGATGAAAATAAGTAACGGAACCTTGTTTTCTATAACACGTAGTTAAATTCATAACCAGATTTTACTTTAATATAATTTTAACATAAAACGTAATTATCAAGAAATATTGCAATATTGAAAGTTAAAAACTTGTGACGCACAATAGTTGCGCGTCGAGCTTTTATGAAAAATGAAGAATATACTGCATATTTACTGCACCACCTATAGCTGAAAAGGACACTCGATGGTTCTGACAATATCGTCGATCAAACGATTTTTATAATTTAAAATCGGGATATTTTTATGAAATTCAAAAAGTTTAGATAGGATTTTTTAGTATTATCTGCAATTTTTCTAATGAATGTCTACTCTATATTGAGAATTGCTCTCGAGTTTCTCGTATTTTCTGGAAATGAAAATGTCTGGAAAAACTTTTATCATATAGGAGCGCCAGTAGGTCCTCCGAGAGTTCATCATAAATTTTTTGACTGAGGTACCTTATAAAATTCTCGCGTACAATCCGGTTAGCGGAGGCGGACGTGTGGAAATTTTTTGCCCGTTAAAAGCTCTTAGTCGGGACGGTAAACTCGCGCTATGTTTTCGCGGCTGAAGCAACAAATGCTTAATGGATCTCTTATGGCATAATTTCTTTTGGCCACGTGATATGTCGATGGAAGAAACGGAGATTCGCAGCGGGGCAGGAAGGTGTACTTTATCACAATGAAACCGCGGCACGAACGGAAATGGATTCCGGCGATTACGAGGCTCCAGTTAGTGGTCACTACAATCACCTACTCACCCGATTCTGTCGTCTAATTATAGCTAGTTAGCCGCGGACGGATATTGTGTCATTTGTTCCAAATAAAAAATTCATGAAAATGTATATTAAATATAATCGCTCTCGAAATCTCTTCTTCTCTCCTTTATTTATTTATTCGTTACATCAATTTTATGTTATTTTACAGATATATTTTTGTTTATATTTTATTTTATTTTTAATTAATCGCGTAGGACGTGTGCACGTAAACCTATATCTATAAATAGATGCAGCGCTAATCTGACAGGCGACTTTAATCGAATGCGGTTTATTTAATACGCGAAGTTCTAAATGAATTATTTTTTCTATTAATATATTTTTCTAACACAATACAATTAAATGCATTATATTCTTTCTCTTTTAGCGCAAACACAAAAGAAATCAAAACTTTTTATTTTCATAAAAGAAGGCTTTATTGTCTCTCTTTTTTTTGTA